AGGGAACAGGCCATAATAAGGAAACAATAGCAGATTCTCATTTGTAATTTAAAAAAAAAAAAAAAAACCTAACCCGGATCAAGGGGAAAGAATAAACCATAACGCTCCAGGTATTCATTAAGCTCTATCCATCCAATCCCAGGTTCAACAACCACGTCCATGTCCTCAACATGTAATGCTTTAACTTTCTACTATATGAGCAATAAAAAATAAGGTAAGGATGACAACAATAAAAGTTTTTTCTAATATATGAGCAATAAAAAATAAGGTAAGGATGACAACGATAAAAGTTGTAGAAAAACACAAGCATTAGAAAATCTCTAGGAAAAGCTCATAATAATTACATTCTAGGAAAATTACTGATCATGGTCAGTACATACCTTCATCAATGACATGTCAATGCAAACACCTCCGTTAGGAGATAAGGTGTGACCTTCGATTGAGGTAGCTCCACCATATGGTATAATAGGAACCTGCTTATGGAATAAAGAAAATCAGCCAACTACTAAGATGGTGAAATATGTATCAAACACCAATGAAGTAGAGAAAGCAAATGAACAGATCCAAAGTGGTTTCTTTACTATAATATATAGTCATCAATTGCTAAAACTTGCTGAAGAAACTATGCACAGCACACAACATTACTAGATATAGAAGCACACAACTTTAAACACAAGATATGATTTCTTATATGTATAATAAATATATATAGCCATAAATTCTAAAAATTGCAGGAAAAACTATGGCGACAACATCATTGGAGACGTAAGCACAAACTACAATCACAACATTATTGGACACATAAGCACGAAACTACATACTAAGTAGTGTTGAATCAAACCAAAATTAGATATTGCCTAAAACTTGTTAGACGATACAAAATAACACTTAAAAGGGCCGAAATCAGTGCAAATTAGTAGAAAGGGAAAAGCTCAGACCTTATGCTTATTACACGACTTGACTATCTTGGACACTTCCTCTTCAGACCTGCAAATTACACAGAACTTTGTAGACAAAATTATTTATGTGAAAATCAAACTTAAATGTAAAACCAACTTTTGCCAATACAAGGGGAAACTGCTAAGGAACAAATCAACCAACAATAAATTAGATATTTAGCTTTAAGACAGTTCATCAAGACAAGAATTATTCTCACCTAGGAAAAACAACCACGTCAGGGATGTTAACAGCTTTGTGAAAGCTATTTTGTGGTTTCCCATGGAAATATCTCTCGTCATAGTCCATTGTTAAGCGATCCTGTAAAACAGATTATATTGTAAACTATCTACAAAAATGTTAAACCGTAACTAGAACATCATAAATTATCCCGGACAAAGCAAGTCGCTTTAAGAAAATAAACATTCTTTTTCCTTCTATAGTATAAAAAGCCATTGATGAATCAAAATAAGTGTATGATACTTGACATATAGCCTTCAATTCATCCATAAACTCTTGTGGAACTTCCTTGTGTGAGCCCTTCACCACGTAGTCTGTGCTACCTTTGCCCCCAAAGCTCAAAACTCTGATATCCAAAATGCAAAATTACAACCCAAGATCAAACACTATCAAACCAACTACAAATTTGTTGAAAAAGTTTTCTGACTTATTATATCTCATGGTCAAACAGAAGCATTTCTCGAGACCTAAATAAACCCAGAAATATGTCTCCAAATAAACAAGTCAACGTAATCTGACTACAAATAAACAAGGTCAAAATCACATCTTTACAGAAACAGACAGCAAATGAAGTTGTTCAACACAAAAACTGAGTCTTTTTCAATGCCGAGAAAACTTTTCAGACATTTTTCTACACGAAAACGGCTCACCGAGAAGAATCGATTTCGGACGAATCGCAGAGAGAAAGCGAGCCAGCGGAGACGGCGAGAGCCAACGGAAGAAGAGAGCTCGGCCATGAGAAGAGGAAGGACGAGCGGTTCGCTTGATGACGATGATAATAGAAGCCATTAGAGACGGGTTTTGAGTCGATTGAGTTTCTGATGGGATTTTGGGAACAAGAATGAGAAGTCTTGAGGTTGAGCTTGAGGGAACTGAGTAAGGATTTTGAGCGAGAGCGAAGGGAAGAAAACAACGACGAGGAAGCCATTAGTGGTTGAATAACGATGCGGAGGAGGAACAGTGAGTTTTTTATGGTCTGGAAGTGGAGAAGAGAAGCTGAGCCTGAAAGGAAAGAGTGAGCCTGAAAGGAAAGGGTGGGGAAAAAAAAAAAAAGGGAAATTAGGCTGGTGGCTTTTTTAATCACCTTATGTAATTTGTTAATTAAAATTGATAAATAATAACTTAATTTTAATTAATTATTAATTAATGTTGATTAATAATAAAAAAAATAATTGATTTAATTAATGATTGATTGATGAGTTTATTAGTAATTACCTGTTGAGTCTATTAATGATTGACCACTAAATTAATAAAAATGGTAATTTTTTTATTTTACAAAACTTTGGCCATCTACGAAAACCACCCTTAAAAAAACGGCGATTTGTGCTGAAATCCCTTAAAGATGAAGCCATTTGGTTCCTATGATCCTATCCTTGAATTCATGATTAGTGCTATTTAACAAAGAATTTAAATTTAAAATTTTTTTTTTACAATACTCCCGTTAATGAATCAGAATTATTGATTTAAACAAGCGAATTAAATAGACATGAAACAGACACATAACTTTAGTAAAAAAAAAGAGTAAAAAATGCTTAGAGACACTATCAGTGTAAATATCACCACTAGTACAAAATAGACTCTGATATTGAAAGGAAACAGTGGGGAAATAAAGGGAAATTAGGTTGGTGGCTTTTTTAATCACATCTTTTTATAAATGGTCGAACTTTTTTTATTTTATAAAAATAGCCGTTATATTTACATCAGTCAATTCATAATTGACTTATGGACCACAGTCTATCAGTGATTGACTCGCGATCAATTAATGATTGATTGATTCATTATTAATTTATCAAGGGTTTATTATTGATAAACATATAATTTGTTGATTGAAATTGATAAATAACAACTTAATTATAGTTAATTATTAACTAATGGTGATTAATAATAAAAAAATAATTGAGTCAATCAATGATTGAATGCTGAGTCTATCAGTGATTGATCGTTGAGTCTATTAATGATTGACCACTAAATTAATAAAAACAATCATTTTTACAATTTTACAAACTTCAGGCATCTACGAAAACCATCCTTAAAAAAATGCGACTTGTGCTGAAATCCCTTAAAGATAATGAATCTGTTTGGTTCCTATGATCCTATCTTTGAATCCATGATCAGTGTTCTTCGTCTAACAAAGAATTTGAATTTAAAAATTTCTTTTTTACAAAACTCTCGTTAATGAATCAGAATTATTAATTTAAACGAGTGAATCAAACGGACGTGAAACGGACCCATAACTTCAGTAAAAAAAAAAAGGGTAAAAAATGCTTAGAGACGCTACCGATGTATATTAAACACCATCGATGCTCAATAACGTTGTTGAAACAAGTATTCTTTTACTGAGAAAGACTTTTACAACTTCGAACCCTCAACCTCTGAAGTATATATAGTATATGGGTAGTTCTACTTACACACCCTTTTTTACTTTCTATGGGTGCATTGGAACTCGTTCCAAAATGATTTTTATTTTTGTATGAAAATGAAAATGAAAACGTTTTCAATCTCAGACATAAATCATTTTTGAAAATGCGTTTGGTTGTTTTATCAAAAGATTGTTTTCAGTATAAAAAAAACCCATTAATGTCTCTCTCTCTCTTTCTCTCTACTCAAGAGAGAAGGAAAAAAAATAAAAAATGAAAAAATGACTAAAAGTCATATTTCATTTCTCTCTTATTTTACACTAAACCAAAAAATCGTTTTCATTTTCGTTTTTTGTCTTTATTGCGCTAAACGCCGTCTTAGAAACGTTTTCATTTTTTCAAACGTGAAAAATAAAAATGTAATCAATTCTAAACACGGCCTATATTTCTTTCTAAACACACGCTCCACATAATTTTAAAATGGTTGAATTTACTTTTTACACACTTTTATTATTTTAAAATTACTCCAAACTATTTTCATAGGATTATTAATTCTTGATCATTTCATTTTTCTTTTCACACCAACTATTTTATTTTAATAACTTTTTAGAAAATATAAAGGAAACTCAAAATATAAATTAGAAAGCAATATAATTTAAAATAGAAAAAAATGAAAAACAAATAAACAAGCATAAAAAGCAGAAAAAAGAACAAAATGGAAAAAAAATCAATTCTACTTTATAAGAAAAAAAACAAAATGATTTTCCTTTTCAGAAATGAAATAATTAGAAAAATAAAAAACATTAACACAAAAATTCATTACAGTATTTTTTTCATGATATAAATTTTTTTATTATAATGTTTTTTCTCATAAAAATTTAAATTTAACTTTTTTCTTACAGTGTTTTCTCTTATTACAGTATGTTTTCTCTTACAGTTTTTTTTTTCATTTGAGTTGTGACTTGAGTTGTGAAAAGAAATTTGAGTTGTGAAAGTATAAAGGATACTCAAAAATATAAATTAGAAAGCAATATAATTTTAAAAAATAAAAACAACATTATTATATGGAGGTATGATTAAAAATACAAAATGGAAAAAAAGTAAAACAAATAAACGAGCATAAAAAATAACAAAATGGAAAAAAAATTCAATTCTACTTTATAAGAAACAAAAAAAAAAAGACAAAATGATTTGCCCTTTCAAAAATGAAATAATTAGAAAAATAAAAAATATTAACACAAAATATCATTACAGTATTTTTTTCATAATTTAAATGTTTTTATTATAATATTTTTCTCACAAAAATTTAAATTTAACTTTTTTCTCACAAAAATTTAAATTTAACTTTTTTCTCACAAAAATTTAATTTAACTTTTTTTTACAGTATTTTCTCCGATATAAAAAAAAAATTGAGTTGTAAGAGGTACACCCCCTCAATCTGCATGCTTCACAGCCTTCCTTGTCTAAATCCCATTGCTATCGCGTGAGCGATGGCCGATCACTCCACTTATTCTAGGAGTAAACTCTAGAACCAATAGTTCATTATCAACTGGTTTTTTTGGTTCTAATACTCCATCTGGAGTCATCAATATTTGTCAATGTTGTTAGTATCGATGGTAGCCTTATATGGTTCCGTATAGGAGGTTGTCGCAGTCATCTAAGTATTTTATAAATAGTAGGGATTTGGGGCCTTGAATTATTAGCAATATATCACTTTGGTCCATCAACTTTTAAGTTTGATAAATTAGTCCCTAAACTTCAGTTTTTTAGACCGTTTTGGTCCATGAGAATAAATTTGATGATGAAATTTTAAAACTTCACAAAGAGAATCATGTTCTAGTCATATATACAGTTGTCAAATGGGCTGGGCTGGAGAATCATGTTCTAGTCATATATAGAGTTATCAAATGGGTCGGGCCGTAATTGTTTTGGGTTTGGCACGACCTGTGACGGTACTGTTACAGGTCGGCCCGGCCCGGCACGTTAGATGGGCCGCGGCCCAGGGCCGGCCCTAGCCCTTGACGGCTGCGGCCCGGCCCAAGCATGGATTTAGCCCAGCCCATATGCGGCCCGCGAAACGGCCTGCCAGGCATGTCTAGCAAGTGACCATTGGGCCCTTCGCGCACCCAACGGTCGGCTCGTGATGGGCCTGCCATTAGGCCCGTGACGGGTCAACCGTTGGGCACGTGAAGGGCCCAACGGTCACTTGCCGAAAATGTGACAAAAAATCCTTTATAAATACCCATAAATCCCACACAATAATTCACTCTCAACTTTTCATATCACTCTCATTTTAATTCTAATATTGTCTCTTTGATATTGATTCTAAGCTTTTCTCTCTCGATTACTCATTTTCTTGCTCTTTCATTTACAAAGTTCAATCAATTTGAAGAAACCCCTGAAAAAAAGGTATTCTACTTATCAATTTTATTACGTAACATTATATTATTCAAGTTTATTTATATTGTTTATTGTTTATAAATGAACGAATTAACATTAGTTTCCGTTTTTTTTTCTAGAAAATAGCCGCATCAAATTTTTCTGATTTCACTGTGCTCCTTAAGCTTGGTGATGAGCCATTTTACGATGATGAAATGTTGGCACACAACTCCAACCCCACTGAACCAGAAACTGTTCTGGTTGATAATGCTTCAGTGCACAATGAGGAAGTCGGAGAACGTAGCAGGAGAAAAAGACCGCGAACTGCTCCCGCATGGCAGCATTTCACAGAGGAGCCCCGACCAAATCCAAAAACAGGTGAAATAGAAATTCGTGCGGTATGTAAATATTGTAAAAAGCACTTTTCTAATAAAAAAGGTGGGGTACTGGTCATCTAGATCGACATTGGAAAGCATGTCTACCATTGCACCAAGATGGGAGTGTGGACTCCCGCTAACAAACACTATCACTCACATCACAAGGGTTGCAAAATTTTACATACGATGCACATTGTACTCGTGAGGCACTAGCTAAATTTTTAGCCAGTGTCGAATTACCTCTTTCTTTTGTAGATGATGCAGCGTTTGAAGAATTCATACAGACGGCAATCTGCCCGTAATTTAAACGGGTAAGTAGAAACACAACTCGTTTTGATTGCATGAAAGTGTTTTATGTAATAAGAATCTCTAGTTGATAATTTTAGGTCTTTTAATGCTACTATATCTTGTACTTCTGATCTTTGGGATAGGTGCAATAAAATTGAATATTTACGACGCATTATGTTGACAAGGAATGGGTTTTACAAAAGAGAATAATAGGTTTTCGTTTATGTCTATTTCCTCATGACGCAAATGCTATTTTTTAGAATAATAATGGAAATTTTTAGGTTTTATGGGATAGAAGATAAAGTTTTAACTATTACTTCTGATAATGCGTCAGCTAATACGGCTGCAATTAACATGTTTAAACTTAATTTGAAACCAACTTTTAGTGGTGAAATTTTTCATCAACGGTGTGCATGTCACATAATAAATTTAATAGTACAGGCAGGAATTGAACATATTTACTCTCATCTAACAAATATTAGAGAATCTTTATCCCTCATATTTAGTTATGGAGCTCAGCTCCAAAAATTCTGACAATATTGCAGGAACAGCCAGGTACACCCAAGAAAGTTTTCAACTGATGTGAGACATAGGTGGAACTCCACCTACTA